TATAGCAATGCTCAGGTGTTGCTTGTGGTACTCTATTGCTTGTTGGAATTGGCCAAGGGATTGATAAGCAATGCCGAGACTGCCATAGGCACATCCTTGTCCGGCCCTGTCGCCAACTTCTATTGCAATGCTCAGGCGTTGCTTGTGGTACTCAATTGCTTGTTGGAATTGGCTAAGGGATCGATAACGAATGCCGAGATTGCCATAGGCACATCCTTGTCCGGCCCTGTCGGCGACTTCTATTGCAATGCTCAGGTGTTGCTTGTGGTACTTGATTGCTTGTTGGAAATGTTGAAGGGATAAATAAGCACGGCCGAGATCGGCATAGGCATATCCCTCTTTGGCCCTGCCGCCCACCTCCTTAGCAATGCTTAGGCTTTGCTCATAATGCTCTATTGCTCTTGGGAGGTCACCAAGGGATTTATAAACAGAGCCGAGCCTGCCATAGGCCGTTCCTTCTTCAGCCCTGTCGCCGACTTCTATTGCAATGCTAAGGCATTGCTTGTGGTGCTTCATTGATTGTTCGAAGTCCTCGAGGTGTAAATAAGCAATACTGAGATTGCCATAGGCACGTCCTTGTCCGGCCCTGTCACCGACTTCTCTTACAATGCTCAGGTATTGCTTGTGGTACTCTAGTGTTTGTTGGAATTGGCCAAGGGAATTATAAACACTGCCGAGATTGCAATAGCCACGTCCTAGTCCGGCCCTGTCGCCGACTCTTATTGCAATGCTCAGGTCTTGCTTGTGGTACTCTATTGCTTGTTGTAATTGGCCAAGGGATTGATAAGCATTGCCGAGATTGCCATAGGCACGTCCTTGTCCGGCCCTGTCGCCGACTTCTATTGCAATGTTCAGGTCTTGCTTGTGGTACTCTATTGCTTGTTGGAATTGGCCAAGGGATTGATAAGCAATGCCGAGATTGCCAAAGGCACGTCCTTGTCCGGCCCTGTCGCCCACTTCTATTGCAATGCTCAGGCGTTGCTTGTAGTACTCTATTGCTTGTTGGAATTGGCCAAGGGATCGATAAGCAATGCCGAGATTGCCATAGGCACATCCTTGTCCGGCCCTGTCGCCGACTCTAATTGCAATGCTCAGGTCTTGCTTGTGGTACTCTATTGCTTGTTGTAATTGGCCAAGGGATTGATAAGCATTGCCGAGATTGCCATAGGCACCTCCTTGTCCGGCCCTGTCGCCGACTTCTATTGCAATGCTCAGGTGTTGCTTGTGGTACTCGATCGCTTGTTGGAATTGTTGAAGGGATAAATAAGCACGGCCGAGATCGGCATAGGCATATCCCTCTTTGGCCCTGCCGCCCAACTCCTTAGCAATGCTTAGGCTTTGCTCATAATGCTCTATTGCTCTTGGGAGGTCGCCGAGGGATTTATAAACTGAGCCGAGCCTGCCATAGGCCGTTCCTTCTTCAGCCCTGTCGCCGACTTCTATTGCAATGCGAAGGCATTGCTTGTGGTGCTTCATTGATTGTTTGAAGTCCTCGAGGTGTAAATAAGCAATACCGAGATTGCCATAGGCACGTCCTTGACCGGCCCTGTCACCGACTTCTCTTGCAATGCTCAGGTATTGCTTGTGGTACTCTAGTGCTTGTTGGAATTGGCCAAGGGAATTATAAACGCTGCCGAGATTGCAATAGGCACGTCCTTGTCCGGCCCTGTCGCCGACTCTTATTGCAATGCTCAGGTCTTGCTTGTGGTACTCTATTGCTTGTTCTAATTGGCCAAGGGATTGATAAGCATTGCCGAGATTGCCATAGGCACGTCCTTGTCCGGCCCTGTCGCCGACTTCTATTGCAATGCTCAGTTGTTGCTCGAGGTACTCTATTCTATTCCTTTCTGTCATTTAGAAGTCCTAGTATGAAAAGTGTGGCTGTTTCGTGATGGTAATATACCTACAAAAGGGAAATATCAAGTTGTCATTCTTTCCTGTCTGCTACCTTTTTGTTTTCTTTAGAGGTGTGCTAGTTGATGTGAAGAACTTAAATGCAGAAAAGTGCTTTCTAATAATTGTTAAACTGAAATTATGTTTCTGGATTGGACAGAGAAAAATTTAAAATCCTTCTACACTCTAAACCACATATTTAATCTTACCGATGCGCTTGCGAACTTTTTTTTTTATATTTATCAAAACAATGGCGAACCAAAGGTGAGAAATGGGAGCGATGTCAGTGTACCAAAACAGTCACGTGAGGATTGAACTCTTTTCTTACGTGAAAGTTTTTGTTTATCCAAGAAATTTTAATAACCACTTGGTAAGTGAATGAACGATCTATTGTTTTCTCTCTTACTATACGCGTTTTTAACGGCTTAAAGTATGGTCCCATCTACACCAATCCGGTTATTTTTTAAACTGAGTATTTATTTTTTACCCTGATTTGTGTGGAGGGGGTTCTTAAACCTGACTCTTGACAGGGGTTGCAGCAAGATGCCTTTTCGGACAGCGGATTTACTGTTTTCTTGTGGACGAATGACCGATTCGTGTAAAAAAGCGAGGTTTCAAAAATAACAAGATTCGTGTGGAAGGGGCCTAAACGGAGGTTTGTTGTTGGTGCAGATCACAAAATGACCTCATACTGAATCGTCTTTGCCTTTTCGTAATGATTGTCACCGTCGTCAGGGTACAGTTTGCTTCTAACTATTTAAGGTATTGTCTCTAAGTCTCATTTTTACATAAGCGGCAGTAACTAACAATGCAATTGAAATATGCAGAAATCTTATTTATTGTTTTGCACCAAAATATGACACTTGAAGACAATACCCCTGAGCCATGAGAAGCTTTCACTTGTAAACACGAAATTTTCGACAAAGTAAAATAGCAAATTGTAGCCCTTATTTTATTACCTTATAAGTTGTCAATGACATTGAAGCTCAAGGGTCATATAAAATGACGGTTAATCTCGATAATCGCAAATGTTTAAAAATATTTATGTAGCGGTTTCAAAACTATTTGCTCATTTGTTAAAGTAGATCAAAATATTAAAAAAACGCAAACAAGAGCACCTCATTGTATTGTCAAATCCCTCTTTCTTGCGAACGGCTAAAGCCATTCCCATGACTCGCTTGAAATACGTTTAAAAGTGAATGAAAGTACTATGACGTAAAACTGGATTTCAAAATCGCTTGGTTTTCTAAAGATAACGGCTGAATACTGAATATCCAACCACATACATTTCATCCCAAATTATCTTCAAAACGCTCTTATACATTTCACTCAAACTTCACGAACATCGAGGAAGCCATTGATGGAGAAAGCTCCCGTAACCTAGATTGGTAGGAAAGTTACCAGTGCCGAAAAAAACGGTTGTAAGTAAAATAGGTAATGGCGTCGTTTCGTTGTTAGGACTACTTCAATGTCATTGTAACCCGGCTGATCATAACAAATTTCCATCTTTTTCTAATACAATTTTGGTGGTAATATTTCTAAATCTTTGTCAATTGCGACGTAGCTAATGCTAAAACATGAGAGGTATTGACGCTGAAAAACCCCATCGAGCCACCTTAAGAAAATGTACAGTGAGTAGGCGTTCCTACCTCCCCCTCCCCCACTTCCCCTGTATATAACACGCTGCATTGTTTTCTTTAAACAGCAGAGATCTTGAAGTTACCAGGATGACATCACTAAATACGAGTCACAAGTACTGCCGTCTATCAACAAGTAGTTGAGTAAAACGAGTTTAAATCTTGAGACCTGTGGCTGTATGTTTCAGACAAAATAACCCAAATGCTCAATATTAACCTACATTATTTCAGGGCCTCACTATCAGTGACATTGAAATGTTAAATCAACAGTGAATTTTACACAATCTTTGCGACCTTTTGATCGTCTTCAGTAAATCGTTTCGGGTCAATGCGGGGTCGTGGCGTGAGATTTTGAAGGTGCACAGGAAGAAAAGTTAGAGCGCGGAAGGCACTCCAAACTCGTGGGTCTGGGGGCATGTTTCCCAAAAGGTTTTTAAATTTAAGGTCTCGGAAATGCCATCTCCTGCGTTTCCCGCAGAACATTTTGAGTAAATAATGAGTACGGAGAAAAATGCAGTAATCTCAATTTTACCTTGTAAAGGTCTTTCTTAGTTAATAATTAACGGTAAGTCACTGAGAAACATGGAGGTTGATTCCTTACACGACTAAAATGATGCCGTCTGTAACTAAACACCTAGTGGATTTCAACTGCTTCCTTTCAGTTAAAAACATGTCAGAGAAAGGCTTAGGGCACGACCACATTACGGCGAATACCACAATATATTGTGAAATACCGTTACAGCTAGAGAACCAGAAGTTTATTTTTATGCCGATAACAACTATCTATCGCGTAAGCCGAGAAAAAAGAATATTCAGCTGAACTTTAACAAAATATCATCGATGAAAACAATGATTCTTGTTTTAAAAGACTGTTAACAGCAAAATAACTGATAGCTTGCACAACAGCGCAGCTGTTAGTTTTTGATAACTCACCTGTCTTACTCGAAGCCCCCGGAGAAAGACCTCAAGAAGCCACCCCCCACCCCCTCGGAAATTGCGTCCTTTTGGACCGCCCTTCCCCGCGAAATTTCCGTTGCCCTCCGTGGTGGGGTATAGATACTGGTCATTATTAAGCTCCGCACAGCAGTAAAAAGGTTCATGCTGCAATGACAGTCGTTGTTTAGCTTTATTAACTAATTAACAGAGATTACTTCTAGGTAGGTAAGAATATTTTTGAAGTTTAGATTGTGACTGCATGAATATTTATTTTCGCTTTAAATTATTATCATCGATTTTTATTACCTTATTGTGCATTTTATTCGTAGCCTTAACCTTTGTAGCTTTTTTGTCTCCTTTTGTAAATAATATAATTGCCTAGGCCGGTAGGCCCGCAATTGGATTTTATTCAGGACGATACTTTTTTAAAGTCTTCCATAATAATAATAAGAAGAAAAATAATAGTAATCATTATTATTATTATACTGGTTCGCGGAAACCTTAAAGCACAACCTCATTTTTTTAAATGAGAGAATGTGGAATATTGAAGTTTACTCTAACGACGTCAACAGGATTGGAGCGAACAGCGAAGGTGTCGCGTCCGGCAGGTGTCCTGTGGAACAGCAGCACAGACCCGGTCGTCTTCTTGCTACTGCTGAAAGACAACTGAAGAGCTTGGCATGGTCAAAGGAGGACAACAAACGACTGTTTAAGTGTTACATCAGGGGTGAAACAGAGAAGAGAGGTTACAGAAAGAGACTGTTGGACCTGTGGAAAACTCATAACACCAACAATGAGTTAACAGAAGTCACTGAGCATAGGCTTGCAGACCAGGTACGCCAGATTAAGCATAAGACGTGGCTGGAGACTGTGGAACAAGAGGAGATAACGCTGAGGGTAAATAATAAACACCAGTCGAATGAAACTATGGAACCTAATACCACAGATACACTACACCACGCAGCAATAACACCTGATATCCAAGAAGAACGCCAAAGTGTATATAGTAAGGCAGCTGAAGAGGAACCCGGTGGTTCCCCGGCTGAAGAACCACAAGATAAGGTCAACCCAGAACTCGATGTCCTCCGCGGTAGGATTCAGGAACTGATGCAGTCCGATAAAAGAGTATACCATCACTGAGTTCATGCGACAGGGCTGAAGTAGAAAGCAGAAGTTGGAAAGGTCAATAAAGCCATAGAAAGGATTCGGACGCACAACATAACTGAACTGAATTCGCTACTGTATGCAGCTGCATGTGTAACGACAGAGAGAATGGAAATGCTGAAAGAGAGGAGAGGGAAAAGAACTAAAGAGACTCTTTGGAAGAGAAGAATCAAAGGAAAATTGAAACTTAGAGAAAAGATCTTCGTAAGATTGGGGAAGTCCGAAGAGGATATATAGACTTTAAAACAAAGAGAGAGGGAAAGGCTGAACAGAAAATATCGTCTCCAGGAAAAGGGCACTACGTATGTTTCAGCGGTACTGCAGTGAAACAAAAAAATAAGGCAGGTTCAATTAAAATCAAAAGATATGACAAGAGATGCCAACAGTTCAAACAGAATCAACTGTTTCGAACTAACCAGAAGTTGTTTTATGAAACGGTAGATGGAAAAGAACGAGGTGAAACAGAGTTACCCGAACCCACGGAAGCTACCACCTTCTGA